ATGTGCTTTATTAACTCTATTACTTTAGTATTATAAGTAGTATATATTTTCACTGAACTCAAACTAAAGTAACAACAAAGTGATGCCGTTCTCTTTGTGTTGAGTCAGCTCATCTTTCTGCTCAGCTTTTACGATTATTTTGTCCAGTCCATTTATATCAACGAGGGTAGACAAAATAACAAACACCTCGTTGACTGTAACAGACCTGTTTTATTTATTAACGGTATTTACATCATAGCAGTAAATAATTAGCATTATAATTGTTATTGGTAGTAGTAGTAGCACTACTATAATAATGATTATTATGATTACTGTAATTATAATGATTATTATGATGGCTGTTATTATGATTACTGTAATCATAATGATGATTAATAATAGTAATTACTACTACTACTATAGTAATAATGTCATTAATGTTTATTGTTTTAATAATGAGAATGAGAATAACAGCAGTGAAATGTCTCTTTACTAAAAGTCTGTTTCTTTGTCTTCATGCCGTCCTCGTCCTGTTCTGAAGTAAGTGTTCTCTGCTGGTCTAACCAGTGCTCCCAGTATCCTGTATTCATAAACTAGTAATAACTGTATTCATAAACTAGTAATAACTGTATTCATAAACCAGTAATAATTGTATTCGTAAACCAGTAATAATTGTATTCATGAACCAGTAATAGCTGTATTCATGAACCAGTAATAACTGTATTCATGAACCAGCAATAACTATTAAAACAACAGTAATAACTATTCATGAACCAGCGACAACTGTATTCATGAACCAGCGACAACTGTATTCGGGAACCAGCGACAACTGTATTCGGGAACCAGCGACGGCTGTATTCGGGAACCAGCGACGGCTGTATTCGGGAACCAGCGACGGCTGTATTCGGGAACCAATATATCAGAATAATATCAGAATATGTAGTTCATGTAAACGTGTCATTTTAAACATAATAAAGTCAGTATGTTTAGTATATATTCTATGTATAATCTGAATAATATTGGTGTGTGTATGTGTATGTGTATGT